ACAGGGACCTTGGTCAATATATTTCCTCCCCCCACCCCAGGGAAGTGGCTCGTGCCTTCACAGTGCGAACTGATGGGCTCTTGTCATCTTCCACATTCCACCACGGGACCCTCAACCTCCAAAACTGCGAAACTGCATGTCATGTGCACACATTAAGGTTCGGTCACTGTGCTGTAGATGTCTGAGTGCATTTCACAAGGTTGTAGTGCCATTTAGGTGTCATTACATTGTCATATCAAATAATTCAGTTGCTCCTTCTTTGTTTTCACACAGAAGAATTTACAATAGTTGTTCATACTCTCCCTAGAGTTTTGTCTCTTCCAAAATGTGACATCATTAGAAGCATATTCTGAATCACATCGCCTTTTAAAAAGAGGCCACTTGTTGGAGGACCTCACCGCTGCTTCCAGCTTGGGGTGGATCCAGAGAGAGCTGAACACACACCCGCCCGCGGCCGTTCGCCTGCTGTTGGGTGGGGGAGACTGTTGATAGAGCAGCTGTGAACACTCGCATGCAGGATTTTCTGTGGACAGAGACTTGAATTCATTTTTATCATTCATTTTCTGTATTTTATTTTTAATTGAGGTATAAATGACATACAATGCTATCTTAATTTTAAGGGTACAACATTATTGTTCTATATGGATATATTATTCCAAAAAATAAACCGTGAGAGTGAGTCTAGTTGACATCTGTCACTATACATAGATACAATTTGTAACATTTCTTTTGTTGAGAATGTTTGGGGTCTGCTCCTTTAGCTGCGGTCACACACCCACGATCACAGCATCTTCGCCTTAGTCCCCGTGCTGTCCACGACGTCCCCAGAAACATTTAATTCAAACCTGGAACTTTGCACCCTTTGACTCCCTTTGTCCACGTGGACCAACCCCTTCCTCCCCTATGTCTGGACACCACCAAATTGTTCTAATTTTATACTTTTTTAAAACTATATTTTGTGCTAAAAGCAGTCAGCAGTGATTACACTGAAGAACATTATAAACGAGACGCCAACAGGGCTGACTCATCCTTCACGCACAGCACACATGGTGCTCAGGCCCCGTGATAGGTTCAGGGGCCCAACACAATGTTTCACTTGTTTGAACTTCACAAAAAAACCTAAATACAAACCTGTCTGAAAATAAATTGTCCCTAGCTGGAAGGAGTTGGCCTGTTAGTTTTGTTTGGACCCTTAGTCTGGGGAAGTGCTTCTGTGAGTGACATTAAAGACAGAAGGAAGAGGAGAATCCTTCCTCCCAGACAAGGTTCCTGGGTGAACCTGGGTCCTGGACAGCAGGAGAGAATGAGCAGAAGGCACAGGGCACAGGCCGAACCTGAGCAGCAGCAGCTGCAGGGTTCACCCAGCTCCCAGATGGCACAGGGGTTCTTGTCTCACTTCCCCACAGGCCTGCAGCACTGTGGGACCATTGAGACTATCATCCCATGCTGAGCAGTAGTAGTCGGCCTCGTCCTCAGCCTGCAGCCCAGTGATGGTCAGGGTGGCGGAGTTGCCAGACTTGGAGCCAGAGAATCGATCAGGGACCCCTGGGTATCGATTGCTATTACCATAGATGAAGGTTTTGGGGGCCTTTCCTGGGAGCTGTTGGAACCAGTACACACTGTTACCCCCGATGTTGGAGCTGCTTCCCGTGCAGGAGATGGTGACCCTCTGTCCTGGGTTCCCAGACACAAAGGGTCGCTGAGTCAGCACAGACTGGGCCCAGGATCCTGCGACACAAAGACACACAGAGATGGTGATTCCGGGTCTGGACACAAACAAGAAAGTACAGCATGAGTTTGCCCAGGGCCCATCCCCTGCCCCCATATGCAGTCACCTGTGCAGTGAGCCAGGAGGCTGAGTAAGAGAGGGGACCAGGCCATGGTGGAGACCATCCCTGAGTCCTGCCTTCTGTGGCCCCACAGCTGAAGCAGGGTTTCCCAAAACCTCTCCCTTCCCTTTGTACTCTGAGAGAGGAGGACCCATTTATGCAAATGATTCCCCCACCCCGCCTCTTCAACTATTTCATTCCTCCATGAGTCCAAACCACCTACCTCTGCCTGAGGACTCCGTGGGTGTCTGCAGAGGTGGGGCTTTGTGAGACCTGTGCATTGGGGAAGTCATATCTCTAAGCCTCAACTGGCTGGTCCCAGCTCAAATCACCCCAGTTCCCTCAGGAACAACCCCCGAGCGCCCTCTAGTGTCCAGGCCCAGACTCACCATTGTGTGTGGTGACCAGACCCCAGAAGAGGCAACCTCTGACTTCTACTTTCTGTCCACTGAAAACTGCCTTAGGACCAAACCAAGTGTCCCCTCTTGTGAATTCCCCATCACCCCAGGGCACATTAGCATTTAGTGCTGTCCTCGGAGACCTCAGAATGAGCCTTTCCTCCCCTCCCTGGGCTGTCCGTGCTCACGAATGACATGGTGTCTCTAACATAAACCCTTGAGCTAGTGTCAAGCCCAGAACAATGACCAGCACCAGGCAGGCATGTCCCCTGCCATAGGGTGAGCAGAGAAAGCTTCTACTGCCCCACTCCTCTGCCCCTGTCCTGCCTTAGAGCCAGGCCAGCCCCGCCCTCAGGCAGCTTCGTCATTATCTCAGGGCAGACATTTTGCTCTACACAGACACCCCGGGGTGAGTCTGTCCGTGTCCTCCTTGGTGTTCTGTGGTCAGGACTGTGGTCCTGCATCTTATACAAACTTCTCTGAGATCAAGAACAAGTCCCGAGCATGACAGCCCCCATAATTCATGACCTCTTTTGTGTTAGACACACGTTTTTTCTTATATTGACCCCTCCTTTGTGATCAGAGAGCTCTCTTCCCTGTGGATCCCCTAGAGCCTGAGAAGATGGGGGCCCTTCTGTCCAGGGATCAGGAGGTGGAGAAAGGAAGCCCCTGTGGATGCCCAGTGGGCGGTGCTGTGGACCCCTCACTGTCTGCCAGGATCTCCACCTGGAACGAGTGAGCCCCTCACTGAGAGCGTGGTTCCCTGTGTGACTCTGTGCCCAGGTCACCGCCATCCGTCCTCAGGGGCCTCCCAACCTGACCTTGTCTGCTCCTTTTCCATGTGATCAAAGACCAAGAATGTGCACTAGGTTCCAGAAGAAAATGACTTTAACACTCAAACTGTTTTACAGGGATGGTTAAAACTGCGTGTGCACATTTGCTGAGAATGGTATAGGAGCCAATCTCTGGCAAAGGGCAGACTCATCACCATGGCGAGCCATCTCTTTCAACTCTGTGAAAGGACAGAACAATGAAACACAGAGGAGCACAGTGAGGCAGGAACACGCACGTTTATAAACACTCCCATGTGCAATCTCCTGCCTCCATGACCCTGAACAGGAGTTCCCTCAGCTATCTGCAGCTCTGACGTGTCACGACTTAAATTGGTCAGGCTTCTCCCCTGGTGATAAGTGTCAATTTCCATTACTAGAGTGAGCAGTCTGGCTCCCACCCGTGCCCACCCACTCATGTGACCATGTAACCACAGTGCACAGCACAGCCACACCTGAACTGTTACCTGTTCCCCCCTAGGAATCCACTTTATCACCTGGAGCACAGTTTTATGTGCAGTTTCCTTTGTTGTTAGTCTGATTGGTGTCCCTCACTGTCACACGAACTTCGGTCAGTAACTTTCCTCCCCATCTCCCCAGGGCGGGGCTCATACCTTCGCAGTGCAGACTGATGGGTCCCTGTCACCTTCCACACTCTACCACGGGACCCTCCACCTCCTAAACTGCAGGTCATGTGCACATGTTCAGGTCTGTCATGGTGCTTCACAGGTTTGAATGCATTTGATAGATTGTAGAGCCTTCAAGTGCCATCATATTGTCACGGAGAATAATTTTATCACTCCTCAAGAAATACTTTGTGTTCACATAGTGCCTCCTCTCCTTCTAAAACCATGTGGACCACAGGTGTTCCTTCTCTCTCTACAGTCGGCCTCTTCCAAGTGTGACATCATTAGATTCATACTCGGAAAAACATCCCCTTTTAAAGGAAAGCCACTTTGAGGGGTGCCATCACTGCGAGCAGCCAGGGGTGAGTCTGTAGACAGCTCACTACATATCCATGCACAGATGTTCAGTCGCTTTCAGATTGGGGAGATTATTAATAAAGATACTATACACTTTCACATGCAGGTGATGCTGTGGACAGAAATTTGACTTTATTTTTATAATTACATTTAGTTGTTGTGTCTTTTTATTGCGGTATAATTGGTGCACAACATTATGTCCATTTCAGGTGTACAAGATTGTCATTCTGTGTTGATAAATATTGCAAAATAATCACCAAATAAGTCTAGTTGACTTCTATCACTACGCCTGGTAACAATTTGTATTATTTTTTGTGCTGAGAATGTTTGGGGTCCACTCGTGTAGCTGCGTTCACACACACACGGCCACTGCATCTGCGCCCTAGCCCCCGTGCTGTCCACGACGTCCCCCAGACCATTCATTTCACAACTGGGAGTTGGATCCTTTCACCCTCTTTACCCACGTGGGCCACCCCCTTCACCTCCCACCTGTGGAAACCACCAATCTGTTATCATTTTATACTTCTAAGTGGCCAAATTTTGTACTAAAAGTCAGGAGACAAAACAGCAGGTCAGCAGTGACTACACTGAAACACATTAGAATATGAGATGCAAACAGCTGACTCATCCTTCACGCACAGCACATACGGTGCTCAGGCCCCGTGGTAGGGTCAGGAGTCCAACACAATGTTACATTTGTGTTACCATTACAAAAAATAATGAATTCAAACCACTCTGAAAGTCAACTGTCTCCATCTTGTGGGTAAGTGGAGTTTCATAGTCATGTAAGACTCGTAGTCTGGGAAAGTGCTGCTGTGAGTGACTCTGAGGACAGAAAGGAAAGAAGCATCCTTCCCTCCCAGACAGGGTCCCTGGGTGAACCTGGGCCCAGGACAGCAGGGGAGAATGAGCAGAAGTCACAGGGCACAGGCTGAGCCTGAGCAGCAGCAGCTGCAGTGTTCACCCAGCTCCCAGATGACACAGGGGTTCTTGTATCACTTCCCCACAGGCCTGCAGCACTGTGGGACCGCTGACACTGCTGTCCCATGCTGCACAGTAGTAACTGGCCTCATCCTCAGCCTGCAGCCCAGTGATGGTCAGGGTGGCTGAGTTGCCAGACTTGGAGCCAGAGAATCGTTCAGAGACCCCTGAGTATCGATTGCTATTATCATAGATGAGGACTTCGGGGGTCTTTCCTGGGTGATGTTGGTACCAGTACACATAATTACCCCCAATGTTGGAGCTGCTTCCAGTGCAGGAGATGGTGACCCTCTGTCCTGGGTTCCCCGACACTGAGAGTGGCTGAGTCACCACAGACTGGGCCCAGGACCCTGGGGGAGATAAAAACACAGAGACTGTGATTGTGGGTCTAGAGACAAACAAGAAAGTACAGCATGAGTTTGCCCAGGGTGCCACCCCCTGTCCTCATAAGCAGTCACCTGTGCAGTGAGCCAGGAGGGTGAGCAGGAGAGGGGACCAGGCCATGGTGGAGACCATCCCTGAGTCCTGCCTTCTGTGGCCCCACAGCTGAAGCAGGGTTTCCCAAAACCTCTCCCTTCCCTTTGTACTCTGAGACAGGAGGACCCGTTTATGCAAATGATTCCCCTGACCTGCCTCCTCTACTATTTGACCCCTCCCTGAGCCCAAACCTCCTGCCTTTGCCTAAGAATGCCAGGGGTGTCTGCAGGGGTGGGGCTTTGTGAGACCTGTGCACTGGGGAAGTCACATCGCTGAGCCACAACTGGCTGGTCCCAGCTCAAATCACCCCAGTTCCCTCAGGAACAACACTTCAGCGCCCTCTAGTGCCCAGGCCCAGACTACACTGTGTGTGGTGACCAGAACCCAGAAGAGACAGCCTCTGACTTCCACTTTCTGTCCACTGAAAACTGCCGTAGGGCCAGGCCATACGGCATCCCCATATGGCTTCCCCATCACCACAGGGCACATTAGTGATGTCCTCAGAGACCTCAGGATCAGCCTCTCCACACCTCCCTGGGATTTCCATGCTCAGGAATAACGTGGTGTCTCTTACTTAAACCCTTAGGCCAGTACCAAGTCCAGAGCAGTGACCAGCCCCAGGCAGGCATGTCCCCTTCTGTGCAGGACACGGGTTCCTTCCTCCCTGGTGTAAGAGGTCTCCTTCCCTGTGGGTCCCCAGCAGAACTGAGGAGAAAGGGCCCCTTCTCTCTAGGGATGGGGTAGTTATGGGGAGAAAGCCCCCTGCTCCTCCCTAGTGTGTGGTGTTGAGTGCACCTTTGTCTGTCATCATCCCAGCTGCAGGGGACCCTCGGTCCCCACACACTGTGAGCAGGGATCCCTCCCGGGAGCCTGCCCTCCAGGTCACAGTCTAAGGTTGCCCGGGACCTTGCCCTACGGCATTGTGTGTGTCACGTCTCTACGAGTAAAGAGGGCAAACATGCAGAAAGTTCCAGGAAAAAAATGTAATTGCTATGACAGATTTTTATTAAAACAGTTTATAATTAGTGACCACTTACCCAAATTAAAGTGCATGTATGTTATAATACATAAATGTCACCTGAATAAGATTGAGTTAAAAATACGATCATAGTAACTATTTATAGCAATTGTGGTGAAACTTGATAGAGAAGCACGGGGAATGCAGTCCCTTCTGTTCTTGGTTGAAGAGGAGTGCACAACATTTTCTACAATCCTTCCATTTTACAGCTGTGAGCTGTGCACTGTGGTCTGAGCTGCAGATAAAAAAGCTCCAGTTGGTGACCAGCCAATCCCTGTGAAGGACTGCATTTCTTTCTCTTCATTTCAGACCCTTCCCAGTAACAGAAAAGCCACCGCAGACACAGCCTCCAGGAGAGAGGGTGTTGGTTTCAGGCTTGTCTCTGGGGAGGGCACCCCTCCAGTCCCTGCCACTTGTGTCCAGAATTCTCAGAATAAAGAAATTGCCCCGGCCGGTGTTCCTCAGAGGGTTGAGCATGGGGCTGTGAACCAAAGAGTCACCCATTTGATTCTGAGTCAGGCCACATGCCTGGGTTTTGGGCCAGGTTCCGGTGGAGGGCGCCAAGAGGCAACCATGTGTTGATATTTCTCTCCCTCTTCCCTTCCTTCCTCTCTCTCTACAAATAAATAAATAAAATCTTAAAAAAAAAAGAAGTTGTTTACACAGCATCCCAATGACAGCCACACAAATCCAAGTACTCCCAGAACTTTCTGACAATGATCCCTTGCCTGAGTCACGAAAAAGTGCAAAGACATAAGGGACAATATACCTCATGCCACAGGCCCTTTTGAGAAAGAAGGGTTGAGAAGGAAGGTGTTGAGCCTGGCTAGAGGTGTCCCAGGTGGTGACTGAGTGAAGGACAGCCCAGCCCTGAGAGCACAGGGAAGTCGTGTCTCATGTCCCCATACACTGGGAGCACCGTGGGAGCAGCCCTGAGGCTGCTGTCCCACCGCCAATGCAACCAGCAGCCTCGTGCGCTGCCTGCAGCCCAGAGACAGTGGGGAGGGCTGAGCTGCTGACAAGGTCAGAGACTCACCAGGGATGCTGAGCTTCAGACTCATCCCAGTGGAGCAGGGGTCCCGGGCACTTCCTGGAGGACCTGGTAACAGGACCCACTGATACCCCTGTCTCTGGTGTTTCCTGCTGAGGGAGATTCTGCCTCCTAAGGACTCTGACCCTGAGGATGCTGGGTCTGCGCAGGCTGAACCCTGACTTCTGCAGGGACAGAGACCCTGAGACCAGCAGAATCCAGGATAATGTACCTCCAGGGAGAGGGGAGAGCTGAGTGTGTTTGTGAGAGTGTGTTTTTGTATGTGATTGCGCCCTGATCTGTGCATGTTATATCATCTTCATGCAAACAGTGCTAGAATCACATTCCAGAGTGAGAGACGGAGAGAGGTGTATGTCCAGTGCGCCCTCAAGGAGTCATTTCCTCAGAGATGAAGCATGAGGACAAGGGGCATTCTGTTCTCTTTTTTTCTGTCCCCTGAGGTTGGTTGACAGAGCAAATCCAACCCTGGGGCCAGTTCACTGAGACCTCCCAGGTCCTGGAGCCTGGAACTGAGGAAGACCACTTCCCTCGGCAAGATGAAGGCAAGAAGGAGGAAGTTGGTGCAGATTCGCTCTGATAACTATTGCGTTTAATCCCAAGGCCACGTCCCGTGGGGGCAGTGAAATCTGCCAGTACTCTGTCTGCAGGAGCAGACCCTGGCCATGGGGTCTTCAGGTCTCAGGGGGCGCAGGACAGGGGTAAGCACTCAGCCCCTTCCCCCTGCCCTGACCTCACAGCCAGGCCCACAGTGGCATGTGGCCCCCAGAGGCCCCCTGGGATGGCTAAGAGGAGATGGTTGACTTTCATCTTGGAAAAGGGCTGACGCTTGGCACTTCAGCAATCTGAGAAAACATGCATGTGGTTGAGTGAGTTCCAGGGGACTGAGGAAACCATATTTTGGGGACGAAGAAAACGGTGGCATCTGTAGAAATATGATATCCAATCCCCCCTTTGTTTATGGTGTAAGACAGACCTTGTGCAGAGTCTCAGCGTGTCTGACGGAGGAATGATACTTGCACCCAGAGCTTATTTCTGTAAATACTCAAACTTTGGGTGAAAACTTCATTTTTTTATTATAAACTATAATTGTGTTGTCATAAGACATTGAGAGCAGTAGGGAGTGAAAAAGAACTATGTAAGTTGTAAATAGGAATAATGTTAAAAGAAATTTTATGCTGGTCTTACTTCTGTTAAGTTTCCTCCCTAGAGATAGACAGCAGGAGAATGGACAGTACACCAGACACTGTTCCTTTCTGCGGAAATTCCATAGAGAGACAAAGGTAAGACCTTAAGAGCCAGAGGAGGAAATCAGGGGGGTGAGGATGAGATGGAAGAAGACACAAAAGGACAGCTGTGGGGGCAGAATTTAAAGGGTGGGGACAGGTTTTCCAGACAAGTTCACGGAGGTGCGTCTCGGGCCCCAGTTATGGTGAAACACAGGAAGCAGCTGGCTCGTCAGAGGAGCAGAGTGGGCCCACGGAGGCCCCATTTCAGAGGGACAGCAAGTTCTTGTCTTACTTCCCCACGGCCCTGCAGCACTGTGGGACCACTGAGACTCCTGTTCCATGCTGAGCAGTTATAATCGGCCTCATCCTCAGCCTGGAGCCCAGTGATGTCCCTGGGGGCTGAGTTACCAGACTTGGAGCCAGAGAGTTGGGCAGGGATGCCAGAGGGTCATTTGCCATAATCATAGATGCGCAACTTGGTGGCCGTTCCTGGGAGCTGTTGGCACCAGGACACACACTTTCCAGCCCCGATGTTGGAGCTGCTTCCAGTAAAGGACATGGGGACCTTCTAGCCCAGGTGACCAGACAGAGAGGGCAGCTGAGTCAGCACAGACTGGGCCCAGGATTCCGGAAGAGGTGCAGATGGTAGATTACAATCTAGAGACAAGAGTAGGAAGCAGAGCCCAGGTGTGTTTCTAAGGTCACTTTCCCTGTCCCCCCATGCAGCCACCTGTGCAGGAGGCGATGAGGGTGAGCAGCAGAGGGGACCAGGCCATGGTGAAGACCATCGCCGCATCATGCTTTCTGTGGCCCCACAGCTGAAGTAAGCTCTCCCCACATGTCTCCCTTCCCCTCTTCATACTCTGACAGAGGGAGGGCCCAATCATGCAAATGAGACCTCCTCCCCATTTCTGATCCCTCATTGGTCCCCGGTTCAGGACCCTCTATCTGACATCAGAAGGGTGGGCAGGGTTAGGGTTGTGTGAGGCTCAGAGCACAGGGAGGTCACAGCTGTGAGCCCTGAGCAGAGGGCACAGGCATTGCCCATTAGTCCCAGCTCTCAGGACAACCAGACCTTTCAGAAGCAGTCTCCAAGCGCCCCCTGGTGTTCAGACAGAGACACACCAGAGTGCCATAGGGTGAGCAGAGAAAGCTACTGCCCCACTCCTCTGCCCCTGTCCTCCTGCCTTACAGCCAGGCCAGGCCCACCCTCAGGCAGCTTCCTCATTATCTCAGGGCAGACATTTTGCTCTACACAGACACCCCAGGGTGAGTCTGTCTGTGTCCTCCTTGGCTGTTCTGTGGTCAGGACAGAAGGTTGATGTCTTGTACAAACTTCTCTGAGATCAGGAACAGGTCCAGAGCAGTGATCACCCCCATAAAGGCAAGTCCCCTTCTGTGCTGGACACACGTTTTTTCTTGTATTGGCCCCTCCCTTGCGACCAGAGCTCTCTTCCCTGTGGATCCCCCAGAGCCTGAGAAGATGGGGGTTCCTTCTGTCCAGGGATCAGGAGGTGGAGAAAGGAAGCCCCTGTGGATGCCCGGTGGGCGGTGCTGTGGACCCCTCACTGTCTGCCGGGATCTCCACCCGGAACGAGTGAGCCCCTCACTGAGAGCGTGGTTCCCTGTGAGACTCTGTGCCCAGGTCACCGCCATCCGTCCTCAGGGGCCTCCCAACCTGACCTTGTCTGCTCCTTTTCCATGTGATCAAACACAGCAAATGTGCACTAGGTTCCAGAAGAAAATGACTTTAGCACTCAAACTGTTTTACAGGGGATGGTAAAAACTGCATGTGCA